GAGTCTTAACCACTGGACTTCCAGGGAAGTCCCTCAGCTTGTTCTTAACAAGAGGCCATCTCACTGCTTGACAAATAGTAGCACCTCACTTAGTACTTTTCATATAAATGAATAACCAGCTTCAATCAAAGAGGGACTTGAAAGGGCTTGATTTGAGATTTTTGCTTTTTCCCCATCTATCTTTGGAGTCAAAGGATCACAAAATGTTGGTACTAGAGGAAGCTTTAAATATTTTTTTTTCACAGATTAAAAAAATATAATTTTTCATTTCACAGATTAAAAAAAAATGAAATCACAATTGAAGTTGAGTGACTTGCTTCAGGTTACCAAATGAGATAGTGGAAGAGCAGAGACTAGAACCCAGACATTTTGATTCAGTCTAGTGCTTGTCTCATTGCCTTTCACTGTTGCCCCACAGTCTTTGATTTTTGAAATCAGTGGCTTCTCCTTTAGGTTTGGAGTGTATGTATGGGGTGGGTGGGTTGGTGGGCACAAATCTTATTCCTGGTGGAGAAATTTTACCTGAGGATGCTTGGTCCTTAAGAGCACCAGCCCTCTTTTTTTGTGCATTGTCACCTCTCCCTGACTTTCGTCATTAGTGATACTCTCCCAGGAGAATGACATGCTTTCATTTATACTTAAAATAGTCATTTGGGTATGGATGGGCTATTCCTGGATTCCCATGAATCTAGAGTATGAAGGAAGTAAAGTAAGCTAACAATTTATGGGTGGTCTTTCTCCTCCCTCTGCACCTCAGATTCCTGCTCTTCCTCATGGGAAGTGTGTCCAGGAGGGAAACCAGTGTTGCTTGTGTTCCTAACAACTTGTCTCTGGGTAAGTGAAATCTAACTAGAGCCCAGGATGGGTTGTTGTGGGAGTACTCATTAGGCAGACTTAAGGTGGCAACGACTAGTGACCACTAAACCTAGACCTTGCAGACTGAAAACACAGAACTCTCCAGAAATGGGACGATCTTACTCAAAGCAGAGTGAGAGTGGCTTGTTGTGAAAGAAGGCTCTGGAGTAACTGGTTACAGGATAGATCAGAGTGTGCAGTAATTTCTTATCATGTATACTTAAACTGAAGTCAGGTGGAACACCCTGAAACCACTCACTGAATTGCTAAGTATGATGGTCTAATCGTGTAGTGGTCAGAAACTAATAGTAAGGACATCTCTGGTTGGCCCAGTGGCTAAGGTGCCTCATTCCCAATGCAGGGGGCCCACGTTCCATCCCTGGTCAAGGAAATAGATCCCACATAGTGCAACTAAGAGTTTCCATGCCACAGCTCAAGATCCCACATGTCAAAGCTAAGATCTGGCGTAGCCAAATAAGTAAATAAAAAGAAACTGATAGTAAATTATTGGAAGACCCATTGTAAAGGTGAATTAAATGTTTTCCCAGAGGGTATGCAATGGGTTCCTGGCTTCATTTGGAACAATAATCATGACCACTGTTATTGGCCATCAGAAGGCACTGTGGAGCCTGGGTATCTGTTAAACTCAGTAAGAATAGTACTAGGTGAACTGGATTTTTAGGTAATGGGAACTCTGTGAATAGATGTGACTATTTATTTCTATTTATTAGACTAGAATTCATTCTAGTCTAATATGTTCACATAGTACATGTATACATATGTGTCTATGTGTGGACTGAGAGATCCTAGAAGAAAAATACCAACAGTTTCTTCTGGATGGTAGGATTTCAAGTAATTTCATTTTTGGCCTAATCATTTTTTATGATATGTTTCATTCTATATAACTAAGAAAACAAAATGATTTTTATTTGGGGACAATAAAATTAAAGGAAATAAAGATGTGCTTAGAGTTTTGGTTTTCTATTTAGCTGTGTAAACCACTTAGAGTTTATTTTTGTGTATAGTATGTCCATAATGGAAGTGTATACAGCAGATAAAGATAAATTAACACAAAGTAGTCACTTTATTAACAACCATTGTTGGTTCAAGACTGCCCAATCAAATCAATCTCTGACCATAAACCATTAAAAAAATTTATTGTATTATAGTTGACTTACAATGTTATGTTAATTTCAGGTGTACAGCAAAGTGATTCAGTTATACATATACATACATTCAGTCTTTTTCAGATTATTTTCTCATATAGGTTATCAAAGAATACTGAATAGAGTTCCCTGTGCTGTAGAGTAGGTCTTTGTTGGTTATCAATCTTATAAATAGCAGTGTGTGTATGTTAATTCCAAGCTCATGATTTATCCCTTCTGCCCACGTTTCCCTTTTGGTAACCATACATTTGTTTTCAAAATCTGTAAGTCTGTTTCTGTTTTGTAAATCAGTTCCTTTGTGTCATTTTTTAAAATTAGAGTCCACATATGAGTGATATCATATGGTATTTGTCTTTCTCTGTCTACTTTACTTCACCTAGTTCATCTTTAAGTCCAAACATGTTACTGCAAAAGGAATTATTTTGTTCTCTTTTAGGACTGAGCAATATTCCATTGTATATGTGTATCATATCTTCTTTATCCATTGCTCTGTTGATGGACATTTAGGTTGCTTCCATGTCTTGGCTATTTTAAATTGTGCTGCAGTGAACATTGGAGTATATGTATCTTTTCCGATTATGGCTTTCTCTGGATATACCCAAGAGTGAGATTGCTGGATCATATGATAGTTCTACTTTTAGTTTTTTAAGAAACTTCCCTACTGTTCTTCATAGTGGCTGTTACCAATTTCCATTCTCACCAACAGTATAGGAGGGCACCCTTTTCTCCACACCCTCTCCAACATTAATTGTTTGTATTTCAATGATGACTATTCTGACCAATGTGAGGCTATACCTCACTGTAGTTTTGATTTGCGATTCTCTAATTAGTGATGTTGAGATCTTTTCATGTACTTTTTGTCCATCTGTAATTCTTCTTTAAAGAAATGTCTATTTTGATCTTCTGCCTATTTTTTTAATTTTTTTGACACAGAACTGCATGATCTGTTTGTATATATTGGAGATTATGACTGTAAACTATTTGTGCAGATATACCGGTGTATACCAGTTGACTCTCAGCCCCAGTAGATCTGTATGTAACAACATGAAATGATCTCAAAGACATATTCCTTAGTTAAAAAAGCATCAAATTACATAGCAGCATCTATAGAACAATTTTATTTATGTAAAAAAACCAAATGCTATATATATGTTAAAAATATGTAGAAAAAAGACTGAAAGTATATACTCCAAATTATCTCTGGGAAGGAGATGGGTTTGTTCTGGTAGAGTGGGGTGGTGATGGTTATACAAATTACAGTTTTATCCTATATACCTTCATGTTATTATATTTTAAAGTGAGGATACATTCATGTGTAACTTGTATAATTAAAATAGAAGGTGGCCTCAGGAAATAAGAATGTGTTTGTGTCTCCAGACCATCTAGAGGAGAGATTGCTCTGATGGCGGGGTGCCTGAATATTTGTTCTCTGATTCTGTGCAGCTTTATGAGTGCATCAGATTCAAAGTTTGATGCTGTTAAGATTGTCTAAGTCCACTCTTTCTCCACTTCTGTGCTTCCTGAGGTGTGTCCTGATGACAACAATTTGGTTGTCATACAGTTTTTCTATAGTGGGGAGAATGTATTAACCAGCTGGATGTTAAGCATAAAAAATTTTCACTGTAAACTAGTAAAGTGACTCTTTTTTTTTTGACTTTGTGTTTGCTACATCATTCTCCTTGTGAATTTGATTAGTACATGTCAGATAATGAAGAATTTTTTTGGCTTCAAAGGTGAGGGCCAGATCCTGGCTGTAGTGAAGTTACTATCCACTAGGGTCTTCTTCCTTACGGACCAGCTCTATCTTATTTTTCTGTAAGCGAAACAGTGGTAGTTTCTTTCATTGAGCAGAGCTCTAGTTTCCAAACTTGGAGATTTCCCAGTTGTATGTAGGGGGAGAACAATGGATGCTGAATGTTTTGGAGAGAGAGAGATCCAAAGAGACACTATCAAGGTGAGTGAATAGGGAAGGATTGGTGAGATGGACCTAGCAAAAGTTACAGCCTGGATCACCTTTGAAATCTTGACAGAGAAGTTCTTCAGTTATCACTAGTCTGTGAAGATACTACTTATAGGCAACCGAAGGAAACATCATTATTTTTCACCCTTTTTTTTTGAGGACTAGAGATTAGGTGAATAGTAATTTTCCCCAACACTTAAGTTACCCAAGATTAGTATCTTGTTATTCTCCTATTTATCAGTCTGGATAATCCTAAATTACTGGATCAGGTTTTAGTATTTGTGTGTTTCAGAATAAATCACAGTAGGGAAGTTTATAGAGTTCCCAAGACCTGTCATTACTTAATCTCTTTCAGCCAATCACCTATTCTAATCTTTTTCCCCCATCATTGTAACCTTCCTCTGTTATTGACAAGAGGATAAAAATCAGGGCTCTACAATGCAGGTCCTCTGTTCTGCATGTAGGATATTTTCCTTTGTGGATTTTTTTCAGGTGAGAAAACCAAGCCTAATGGCACAGTGTTAAATGACTTGAAAAGATGTGGAAGATCAGAGAGCCTGGTCATCAGAGGTTTGCATTAGGAGAAGCTGAAGAGGCATGCTGAACAAGGACTAGGAGGGGAAATTGTGAGGAATGACTGGGAGGACACCACATGCACACAGACCTTTTACAGGAGAGCAGTGTTACTCTAAAGACAATCATCTTTGAGAAAGTTCCTTGTAAATATTATGAATTTGACAGAAAATTTCTTGTAAACTGGAGCCTATCAGACAGATGTCCTTTTATTGTTACAGACAGCATGAGTTCCAGCCAGATTTCACTGCACATGAAACATCAGAGATTTAACAGGCGGAAGAAACCTTCAGAATGTAGCGAATGTGGAAAGTGTTTTACTCAGAGATCATCTCTTACCCAGCATCAGAGGATTCACACAGGAGAGAAGCCCTACGTATGTACTGAATGTGGAACTTGTTTCCGTAAACAGTCAAATCTTACTCAACATCTTAAGATTCATACAGGAGAGAAACCTTATAAATGTAATGAATGTGAGAAAGCTTTTCCAACAAAAGCAGTCCTCATCCAGCATCTGAGAATTCATACTGGGGAAAAACCATATAAATGCAGTGAATGTGGCAAAGCCTTTTGTCAGAGTCCATCCCTTATTAAACACCTGCGAGTTCACACTGGAGAGAAACCCTATAAATGTAGTGAGTGTGGCAAAGCCTTCAGTCAGAGGATATGCCTTACTCGTCATCAGAGAAGTCATTCTGGAGATAGACCTTCTAAGTGTAATGACTGTGGGAAAGCCTTTAATCAGAGTGCATGCCTCATGCAGCATTGGAGGATCCATTCAGGAGAGAAGCCCTATACATGTACCAAATGTGGTAAAGCTTTCACTCAGAACTCTTCCCTTGTTGAACACGAGAGGACTCACACTGGAGAGAAACTTTATAAGTGTAGTGAGTGTGAAAAAACCTTCCGCAAGCAAGCACACCTTAGTGAACATTACAGAATTCACACTGGAGAGAAACCTTATGAATGTGCTGACTGTGGGAAATCCTTTAGGCACAGTTCAGCACTTGTGCGACATCAGAGGCTTCATGCTGGAGAATAAACTTGAGATACAACCAGGGTGAAATATGAAAACAAATTTTTTTTTTCAAAATTCTTAGGAGATTAAGAATCAGTCTTTGGCTGGGAAGAATATTTTGTGTGTTGCACTAGAGGCAATTGTGTCTTAAAAGTTAAGAAAATAGAACTAGACAGTCTTGAGTTTGATGGCTTCTCTGCCACTTAATGGATGTCTGACCTTACCTGTCTGAGCCTCAGTTTTTCCCATCCCCCCTAAAAAGTAACGATGATACTTACTACGGTTGCATTGAGAATAAAATGAATTCTATATAATAACTAACTGCCATTAGTTGATTTTGAGTGATAGATGTTCCAGAAGTTAATAAATCTTTTTATTGAAAACAAAATTCAACATCTTTTTTTCTTTTGGTTCTCCTAGTTTATTTTTTCTAAAGAATATTCTTGTAATTGAACTGTGATTTTATACTTAATCTACAGAAGGCTATTTAAGCTATGATGTGAAGATTTAAATAGGAGAACACATTTAAGACCAGTTTCTCCTTGGAAAAAAATCAAATTTAATCAGAGAAGGAAGAAATTACTGGGATTTGAGTGAACATTTTGGGTATTCTAAAGAGCTTTATGTAGATTTTTAGATCCATTGTATATTGTACTAAGTTGCTTCAGTCGTGTCCGACTTCACAAACCTGTGGACTGTAGCCTGCCAGTCTCCTCTATCTGTGGGATTCTCCAGCCAAGAATACTGGAGATTCAGAGATGTGTGGATGTGGGTGCCTCACAACAATGAATGGCTTCTAAAAGCTCAAAAGAAGCAAAGAAATCAAAGGATACTTTTGATTGTGCTTCATGCAATGCTAATAAGCTGCTCAATGTAAACAAGCATATCTGACACTAAAATGTACCCCTGTCAGAAAAGTAGGATCTATTTTCCAAATTCCAGAGTCAAGAAAAAACAGAAAGGAACTTGATTTCCTCGAAGTCAAATAGGTAATGTCAGAGTTGAATTTCAGTCTAGATCCCAGTTTTTATAGTACCAATCTCGCAGGTAATTTTCCATCACTGACCCTTGCCAAAATTGTGAAAACCATTAAAGAAAAAAAGAAAAGGGTTTTTTTCTTCAACGTACAGTAGTATATACTTATTGAAACACAATTACAAGAGTGGAAAATTAAAATTACATGCTTTTCTGGTTTTTTGAAAAAATAAACAAAATTGACAAAGCATTAGCAAGACTCATTAAGAAACAAAGGGAGAAGAACCAAATTAACAAAATTAGAAATGAAAATGGAGAGATCACAACAGACAACACTGAAATACAAAGGATCATAAGAGACTACTACCAGCAGCTCTATGCCAATAAAATGGACAACTTGGAAGAAATGGACAAATTCTTAGAAAAGTATAACTTTCCAAAACTGAACCAGGAAGAAATAGAAGATCTTAACAAACCCATCACAAGCAAGGAAATCGAAACTGTAATCAGAAATCTTCCAGCAAACAAAAGCCCAGGACCAGACGGCTTCACAGCTGAATTCTACCAAAAATTTAGAGAAGAGCTAACACCTATCTTACTCAAACTCTTCCAGAAAATTGCAGAAGAAGGTAAACTTCCAAACTTATTCTATGAGGCCACCATCATCCTAATTCCAAAACCAGACAAAGATGCCACACACACACACAAAAACTACAGGCCAATATCACTGATGAACATAGATGCAAAAACCCTTAACAAAATTCTAGCAAACAGAATCCAACAACATATTAAAAAAATCATACACCATGACCAAGTGGGCTTTATCCCAGGAATGCAAGGATTCTTTAATATTCGCAAATCAACCAATGTAATACACCACATTAACAAATTGAAAGATAAAAACCATATGATTATCTCAATAGATGCAGAGAAAGCCTTTGACAAAATTCAACACGCATTTATGATTAAAACTCTCCATTAAGCAGGAATAGAAGGAACATACCTCAACATAATAAAAGCTATATATGACAAACCCACAGCAAGCATTACCCTCAATGGTGAAAAATTGAAAGCATTTCCCCTGAAATCAGGAACAAGACAAGGGTGCCCACTCTCACCACTACTATTCAACATAGTTTTGGAAGTTTTGGCCACAGCAATCAGAGCAGAAAAAGAAGTAAAAGGAATCCAGATAGGAAAAGAAAAAGTGAAACTCTTGCTATTTGCAGATGACATGATCCTCTACATAGAAAATCCTAAAGACTCTACCAGAAAATTACTAGAGCTAATCAACGAATATAGTAAAGTTGCAGATATAAAATTAACACAGAGAAATCCCTTGCATTCCTATACATTAACAATGAGAAAACAGAAAGAGAAATTAAGGAAACAATACCATTCACCATTGCAATAAAAAGAATAAAATACTTAGGAGTATATCTACCTAAAGAAACAAAAGACCTATACATAGAAAACTATAAAACACTGATGAAAGAAATCAAAGAGGACACAAACAGATGGAGAAACATAGCGTGTTCATGGATTGGAAGAATCAATATTGTCAAAATGGCTATTCTACCCAAAGCAATCTATAGATTCAATGCAATCCCTATTAAGCTACCAATGGTATTTTTCACAGAACTAGAACAAATAATTTCTCAATTTGTATGGAAATACAAAAAACCTCAAATAGCCAAAGTAATCTTGAGAAAGAAGAATGGAAGTGGAGGAATCAACCTGCCTGACTTCAGGCTCTACTACAAAGCCACAGTCATCAAGACAGTATAGTACTGGCACAAAGACAGAAATATAGATCAATGGAACAGAATAGAAAGCCCAGAGATAAATCCACGAACCTATGGACACCTTATCTTCGACAAAGGAGGCAAGGATATACAATGGAAAAAAGACAACCTCTTTAACAAGTGGTGCTGGGAAAACTGGTCAACCACTTGTAAAAGAATGAAACTAGAACACTTTTTAACACCATACACAAAAATAAACTCAAAATGGATTAAAGATCTAAATGTAAGACCAGAAACTATAAAACTCCTAGAGGAGAACATAGGCAAAACCCTCTCCAACATAAATCACAGCAGGATCCTCTATGACCCACCTCCCAGAATATTGGAAATAAAAGCAAAAACAAACAAATGTGACCTAATGAAACTTAAAAGCTTTTGCACAACAAAGGAAACTATAAGCAAGGTGAAAAGACAGCCCTCAGATTGGGAGAAAATAATAGCAAACGAAGCAACAGACAAAGGATTAATCTCAAAAATATACAAGCAACTCCCCCAGCTCAACTCCAGAAAAATAAATGACCCAATCAAAAAATGGGCCAAAGAACTGAACAGACATTTCTCCAAGGAAGACATACAGATGGCTAACAAACACATGAAAAGATGCTCAACATCACTCATTATCAGAGAAATGCAAATCAAAACCACAATGAGGTACCATTACACACCAGTCAGGATGGCTGCTATCCAAAAGTCTACAAGCAATAAATGCTGGAGAGGGTGTGGAGAAAAGGGAACCCTCTTACACTGTTGGTGGGAATGCAAACTAGTACAGCCACTATGGAAAACAGTGTGGAGATTTCTTAAAAAGCTGGAAATAGAACTGCCATATGACCCAGCAATCCCACTTCTGGGCATACACACCGAGGAAACCAGATCTGAAAGAGACACGTGCACCCCAATGTTCATCGCAGCACTGTTTATAATAGCCAGGACATGGAAGCAACCTAGATGCCCATCAGCAGACGAATGGATGAGGAAGCTGTGGTACATATACACCATGGAATATTACTCAGCCATTAAAAAGAATTCATTTGAATCAGTTCTAATGAGATGGATGAAACTGGAGCCTATTATACAGAGTGAAGTAAGCCAGAAAGATAAAGAACATTACAGCATACTAACACATATATATGGAATTTAGAAAGATGGTAATGATAACCCTATATGCAAAACAGAAAAAGAGATACAGATGTACAGAACAGACTTTTGGACTCTGTGGGAGAAGGCGAGGGTGGGATGTTTCGAGAGAATAGCATCGAAACATGTATATTATCTATAGTGAAATAGATCACCAGCCCAGGTTGGATGCATGAGACAAGTGCTCGGGCCTGGTGCACTGGGAAGACTCAGAGGGATTGGGTAGAGAGGGAGGTGGGAAGGAGGATCGGGTTGTGGAATACATGTAAATCCATGGCTGATTCATGTCAATGTATGACAAAACCCACTACAATATTGTAAAGTAATTAGCCTCCAACTAATAAAAATATGAAAAAAATTACATGCTTTTATCAAATAAATATACTAAAATAGTTACTTTAGTATATTTGTTCTAGCCTTTCTTCTCTGCTCATTTTTTCGTCCACTGCTGTGGGCTCAGGTTCAATCCCTGGCCAGGGAACTAGGATCCCACAAGTTGCATGGCAAGGAAAAAAAGTAACTATGATCATTGTGTTATATCTTGCTATTGATTTAACATAAGCATTTAACTATACTATTAAAGACTTCCTATAAACCTTGTTTCAATGGCTGCCTAACATTTTATTGAACTATTCATAATTTACTGACTTGTTTCCCTTCTGTTTGATATTTAAATTAATGCCATTTTTTTCTTATAAATCCACTAGTCCACTTAGTGCATTGCCTGACACATGGTATGTTCTCTTGTTAGTAATATTATCAATTCACCAGTGAAACATGTTTGTATATAAAGCTTTTTCATCATTTAAAATTATTGCCTTAGGATTTTCAGACGGTATGACCTTTAATTTTATTTTAAAATTTTCATTAATTTTTTTGACTGGACAATACAAGCTTATGGTTTAAAGTTCTAAAAGTACAAAAGTAAATAGTGAAAAACCTTTTTGCCAGCCACTCCAGATACCAATATTATCAGTTTCTTGTTTTCTTTCCAGAGATAGATTATTATAATTAAGGAAAGATGTTTTCTTCCTTTTTTGGAAACAGACCTTTCTTTTTTCTTTTGGCTGTACCATGCTGCATGCAGATTCTTAGTTCCCCAAACAA